TCTAGCGACCCCTCCGAGGCTGGGTCTCCATTGCCCAACAATTCAGATAATAATTTTGTCCTCATCACCAGCCACAAAGTCACCGACCATAATTACCTCTAATGGTCGCAGTCAGTCATGATGTTTGTATGTGGCAAAGACAAAGATGACTACCTCACTGGTGATGCTCCAGCTCCGATGACGACAGATCCATCATACAAAATCCGAGAAAATAATATGGTTATGACCTGACTTGTTAACTCGATGACACTTGATATTGGCAAAAAAAATTTTCTCTATGGTGCGGCTAAGGAAATCTGGGATGCTGCCTGTGAGACCTATTATAGTGCGGATAATACAAGCGAACTATTTGCTGTTGAAACCATTCTTCATGACTTTCGTCAAGGTGATCTCTCCGTCACCCAATACTTCAATAATCTTACTCGGTATTGACAGCAACTAGATCTATTCGAGGTGTACCCTTGGAAGTGTCCCGAAGACTCTGTCATATTTCACCAAATCATAGAACAGAAACACACCTTCAAATTTCTTCTCGGCCTCAAATCTGAGTTTGACCAGACTCGCTCACGGATTTTGAACCCGAAACCTCTTCCAACAATTCGTGAACCCCGATATACCCGGGAAAGGGACCCGCCAAAAGGTCATGTTAGACACTTTCTTGTCCACTACAGCCCTCGACGGGTCTGCACTTGCTGCTCATATTCCATCCACAGACAATCGCCAACTCCAAGACTGCCCTTGGTGTGACCACTATCGCCGTTCTGGTCATACTCGGGATACGTGTTGACGGATTCATGGCAAAACCGCCAATGGGAAACACAAACAGGATCATCTAAGCTGCCACCAACACCATCGAAGCCTCTCCAAGAATGAGCCCATTCAGCGAAGAACAGATTCATGCCCTCCAGAAAATGCTCGGTCAGTTGTCACCAGTCAAGCCTACTAGTGTGGCATCGGGTGCCACCAACCTTGTTACCTATCAAGTTATTTCCTCATCCGCTTTCGTCTTGGATTCAACCTCTTCTCGCCCCTGGATTGTTGACTCATGTGCTGTGCCTCCGATCATATGACCGGGGATGTCTCCTTATTATTGGATTACCGACCGTGTAATCCGACCCTCACTGTTCGGATTGCTGATGGATCAGTTCTGTCCTCATTTTTCCAGATTTATTTCTCACTTCTGTACTTCATGTTCTTACTTTGGATTGTAATCTGATCTCTATTAGTAAGCTCACTCATGATTGTCATTGTGTTGCTAAATTTTTTCCATATGTTTGTGAATTTCAGGATTTGAAGTTGGGGAGGATGATTGGCAGTGCTGAGTTGCGCAGTAGTCTCTATATTCTCAACAAACCCTCTGTCAGTCTAGTCTCACCCACCGGTTGTATTCCAGTATCAAGTCTGTCTTGCTTAAATCCGCTTAGTACATCTTTATTCCATTCCAGCGTTAATAATGATAGTGAAATCATGTTACTTCATTATCGTTTAGGTCATATCAACTTTATGTACATAGAGAAACTATTTCCTCATTTATTTATTAATAAAAGTCATACCTCTTTTAATTGTGAATTTTGTCAACTTGCCAAACACACTCGTACGTCATTTCCTCGATTATCATACAAACCCACTCGTCCCTTTTCTCTGATCCATAGTGACATCCGGGGTCTTTCTCGTGAAAAAAATATTTATGGGGCTCAATGGTTTGTGTCCTTTATTGATGATCACACACGGGTGACATAGATCTATCTTTTGCGTGATAAATCCGAGTTAGGACCAATATTTCGTGCATTCTATCAAATGATACTCACTCAATTTGACACAAAAATCCAGGCTCTCAAAACAGATAATGCACGAGATTTTTTTCAACACCTCCCTAAGAACTTTTCTTACTCAACATGACATCCTTTACCTTAGCACGTGTGTTGATACTCCCTAACAAAATGGGGTTGCCGAGCGGAAAAATCGTCACTTGTTGGAGGTAGCCCGCTGTCTCATGTTTACCACATCGGTCTATAAATGTTATTGGGGACATTGACCGCTACTTACCTCATAAATCAGATGCCCTCTCGTATTCTTGATTTTCGTAGTCTAATTGATGTCCTCCTTCGCTCTTTTCCAAATACCTGTGCACTCTCTTCAGTTGTCCCTACCAAACTCTTTGGTTGCTCCGTCTTTGTTCATATTCACAAACAACACCGCAGTAAATTAGACTTCAAATCTGTCAAATGCATATTCATAGGGTATTCGACCAACAAGAAAGACTACAAGTATTATTGTCCTTCAACTAAAAAGGTCTATAATTCTATAGATGTCACCTCTTTTTAGCATCAATTATACTACCAAGGGTCTGTCATTCAGGGGGAGAGTAGTCGTAGTGAACAACAGCCTTGTGTTCCTTTACCAACTGACACGGGTCCCTCACCGACTGTCAAACCTCCTCCATCTCCTATTCAACCTCAGTCTACACAATCCACACCTTCTGCTATTCAATTTCCTCAGTCTACACAACCCACTCCTCAGGAACTTCGGGTCTATACAAGACGAAACAGAACTGCTGAAAGAATAGAGAACCTAACACCGCTTCCAATTGCTGTCCAAGAATCTAATTCGGCTTCAAAATCCTCTGAAACTCACTCAGGTACGGAATCTATAGACACTAGTGATTATAAGCTTACCCCGTTTGTGAAAGATGATTCTGATGTTCCTTGCACTCAACATCCTATTGCCCGATTTGTTTTATATGAGAGGTTATCTTCTCCCTATGCATTTGTAACTGCTATTGACAGCATAAAGGTTCTGAATTCTATTCAGGAAGCTCTCTCACACCCAGAATGGAGAAAAACTGTGAATGAAGAAGTTGCTGCACTAAAAAAGAGTGAAACGTGGATTGTGTTTGATTTGCCCAAGAATAAGAGACCAGTAGGATGCAAGTGGTTATTTACAATCAAATGTAAGACAGACGGAAGCATAGATCGGTTAAAAGCCCGACTGGTTGCAAAAGGTTATACTCAGTCATATGGAATTGACTACCAAGAGACATTTGCCCCAGTAGCCAAACTGAACTCCATTAAAATCCTACTCTCCATTGCAACAAACCGAGACTGGCCCCTTATGCAACTTGATGTCCAAAATGCATTCCTTAATGGAGATCTTGAAAAGGATGTATACATGGATTTACCGCCTAGTCTTGAAAGGTCCTTCCCTACTGGCAAAGTATGCAAGCTCCGGAAATCTCTGTATGGTCTCAAACAATCTCCCCGTGCTTGGTTTGGCCGATTCACCAATTCAGTAATTAAGTGTGGTTACACTCAAAGTCAAGCTGATCATACAATGTTCACAAAAAGATCCGAGAAGAAGATTGTTGTACTTATTGTGTATGTTGATGACATCATTCTTATCGGTGATCACACTAAAGAATTGATAAAGCTGAAGTATGATTACACTGAAGAGTTGACAAAGCTGAAGAAGTTTCTAGCCCATGATTTCGAAATCAAGGACCTCAGAGACTTGAAGTTTTTCTTGAGAATGAAAGTTGCAAGATCCAAAATGGGAATAGCCGTAACTCAAAGGAAGTACACATTGGACCTATTGAAAGAAACTGGTATGCTTGGATGCAAACCAATAAATACTCCAATAGACCCGTATAAAAAGAAAAAAATGGAGAATGATAGTTTACCTGTCAACAAAG